GTGCTTTGATGAAGACATTCCATTTGAGACAATGCTCCAAAGGCTCTCACTCTCTGCACACGGTTTGGGGGCCTGTGTTTGTTTCTGTCCACTACAAGAAGCAGTCTCTCTGGTGATGGCTGAACAAGGCACTACCTGACTAATCTCTGAGGTTTTTGTTTGTCACCCTAAGTTTTTCATTTCCAATTTCATTTCAGTTTGGATTTTGTTTATTGATTCTATTTCTTTGTTAAATTCTACTTTCATGCCTTGAATGTTTTCATTATTTCATTCAACTGTTTGCGTTTTCAGACTTCATTAAGGCAATTATCCAAATCCCTGTTAAGGTCCCTAAACATATTCATAATTCCTGTTTTGAAGTCTTTATCTTATGCTTGAGCTATATTGAATTTCTCAGGGTTTACTGTAATGAAGTTACTAGATTCTGGTGGAAGCATATTGTTTTGGCTGTGGTTTTATGCTGGGACCCAGGCATTTTGAATAATGATGTTTGAGGTGTTTCTTGGTATTGATGTCTGATCTTGCCTCTGTTGGGTGTGTGTTCTGTTCTTTGGTTGATGTTGTCCTTTCTGGATCCTAGGTGAGTGTTGTGGCTATGAGTGTCCCCTGGTTGGGAGTGCTTCTGAGTCCCAGCCCAGTATGGTCACTGGTGTTCCTGGCAGAAAGGATTTTGGTAGACTGGCAGCTGACACAAAGCCATCCCCGAGTCTTAATCTGAGATTTGCATAGTCTTTTCACACCAGACCCTTTGCCTGTTAGTGTGCCTCTCTTTCTCTGGGTAGACAATCTGGTCTGTAGGGTGACTTTGGACTGTTTGTTTCCGAGCCATAGGCTCCAGTTTCCTCCAGTATTCCTTTTTTTTTCTGTTATTTCATATTTTTCCCCAAAACAAACACACACACCCCTCCTTTCTTGAGTAAAACCTGCATCTTGTAGCTTTCTCACCTGTGATCCATTTGCTGGATCTGGTTGATCCGGTTCTGAAGGATACGCATTCGATAATGTCGTGATTACATATCAGGGTGGTATTAGTAGGCCTATGCCACTGGTCTTTGACCATGAAAGGACTTCCTTTGCCTTTTCAAACCCTTTCTATATGAGACTGGAAGTCTTAAAGTGGTCGTGTTTTCTCATTGCCCTTTTCCTAGGTTAATTTAGCTCTGGTAAAGTTCCCCTGGAGATTTTGACAAGGAGAAGGATCTGGGCATAGGACCTATCTAAATGATTATAGTTCCCTTGCGTTTACTTTTGTCCAAGGAAACAGTGGCTGATTCTTTAGTCTTTCCTGTGAGAACATGGCCTGACCCCCAGTGGGAAAGCGTCAACGCAGAAGGCGGTCTGTGCCTGGGTGCACATGAGGTTTTTGAGTCTCCTGCAATGGCCAGTCACAGCTTAAGCATTCTGACAGTGATTCTCTGTACTTGCCTGTATTTTGTTCTGGAGATGATTGGCCCAGGACCTCTGTTCTTGGTGAAAGATGGTTGCATAACCTAATTGTAAGGTCTTCCTCACAATGGGTCTTCCAAGCTGTTTAAATATAAGCCAGAAATTTGTATTGTTTTCTTACACAGACTCTTCCTAGAGGTTCTTGATGTTAAATAAACATCCACCTGCTAAACCTTGGATTCTAATCAAATGTTACCATACCTTCTGAATTTTTTAAAGACTTTTTCACAGTTGTGGTAGGTATGGTTTTACCATTGTGTTTCTTATCACGCTTGTACTGACTTCTGTGACCCTGTGATTATGAGACCTGTCCTGAACAAAGCAGACACTTAATCACCACTCCTAACATTTCCTCTTAGCTGGTACTGACCAAGCACCAAAATGACTTTAAGATAGAGCTGACACAGCTTGAGAACGACCTTCTCCTGCGCCTCTCTGCTGCAGAGGGGAGCTTCCTGGACGACACTGACCTGGTAGAGCGCCTGGAGACCACCAAGGCCACCGCAGCTGAGATAGAGCACAAGGTAAGGGCAGTAGAGAACACCTGGTGGGTTCATTGCTCTTCTGGAATAAAATGGATCACAGAAGTCAACACAAAAACACAGCTCTCGACTCAAAGGCAGTAAGGGATAGTTTATTCTGGAGCCAAATATGAGTGACTATGGCCTAGGAACACAGATTCAGGTTATGCCAAATACTATATAACCAGTGTGGTAACAGATTCATGATGTTTTTATAATAGCATAGAAAGAGAAAATTATAAATCAACACACTTATAGTATCTTGGTAGAAGCATTATATAGATGGGTTATAACAAAACAGGGATATCTCTACTATAGGCCTCATGGTATCTAGTGACATTCCTGGTCTGGGAGCTGGTAGATGCTAGTGGCTTACTAAGAATCATTTTAAAGGTTTTTGATAGCCACAAGGATATTAGGTCAGACAAGGTGTATGAGCCATGAATGGCTTTCAAGGGACTAAAAATAACAAAAAATAAATTGGTTCTGGTCTGCAACATTTTAATTCTCCCTAATCAGGAAGTTCCATCTTTGGGCCTTGTAGAATCTTAACATGGTTCTGACTCCTGCCGCCACCACCCTCTGGAAATTTCAGTTAATACAGTTTAATCAGGTTTGGTAATTACTCTGAGAAGGCAGGTTTGTTATATAATCTAGGCCATTTAACAAGCAGCCCTCAACACTTAGGCTATCCGTATCGGATAAGGAATAAAAATGTTTCAATTTGTACTTGAAGTTCCACACAGATCCGATCATGCAAACGATTTCTCCTGTGTGACCAGTGTTGGAGCCTCCTGGTTTATATGGTAGAAACTAGAGAACATGTAAAGTTCAGCTTCCGCAAATAATAATCCCAGGGTGTTGCCTTTTTAGACAAATCTTTGGAGCTAAACTCCTGTTTACGGCCTGTGGTGGTAGGAAACAGAGCAGGGAATGGTCCCCTGTGGGTCTCAATGCATCATTTACCCTGGGAAAATGACATTTTCCAAAAGCCAATAAAACATTTCTCTTGCCGGGCGGTGGCGGCGCACGCCTTTAATCCCAGCACTCGGGAGGCAGAGCCAGGCGGATCTCTGTGAGTTCGAGGCCAGCCTGGTCTCCAAAGCGAGTTCCAGGAAAGGTGCAAAGCTACACAGAGAAACCCTGTCTCGAAAAACAAAAAAAAAAAAAAAAAAAAAAACAACAACAAAAAAAAAAACATTTCTCTTGAACAGCTTCCTGGTAGCGGAGCAGCTCAGATCACAATGGGCCATGTGTGTTGTGTGCACTTTGGACTTTCACAAGTAGCCACTAACTGTTGACACTGAATAGTCTGGAAAGATTTAGACTGTTATTTGCTTTGTGGAGTATCCTCATTACAACATCATCCACTAATTACCCAGCCAAAGCTGTGTTGCCATACATCCAGTGTATGTGCCTTAAATTAAGCAAAGAAATAGAATCCCAAATTACTCCATCCTTTTAGTAAGTGGTTTCTAGGTGGCTCCTAAGATAGTAAAGATTAGGGCAATTAAGTAAATTAAGTCTTAGCTTTGAGGTTAACTTCTAATTGTTTCTTGAAATGTTGCTTCCTGTCTTCTTAGTATATCACCATGAAGCCTCTTCCCTCTCTGCCATGTATTTCATTTCCTTTCATTCGCAGACGTTATGAGTCAAGACCATGGGAGTGTTTAGAGGGAAACATTGGTATCACTTAAAGCTGCAGGGCCAGCATGTATTCTTAGAGAGAAAGGAGATAAGCTCTTGTTTGTTTTCAGAAATGAGTGTTTTTTGACCCTTCAATAAAAATGAATATATTTAGTTGATACATACATATGTGTGTGTGCATGTGTGTGTGAGTGTGTTAATTATACATATGTGTGTGTGTGTGTGTGTGTGTGTGTGTGTGTGTGTGTGTGTGTGTATGTGTGTATTTATGTCTCGGAAAAAGTGCCCATAGGGTTAACAAGTAAGAACAAATGATAACGCTGGGCATGTGGATATCTGGTGCTGTTGGAATTCAATGGCTGAGAGAACCCTCATATAGAGGAATATTTAGGAAATGTGGCTATTGCATGTGCTATTGACCTTGGCTGCATTTGTAGACCTTTTACCTAATAAAATCATTGGCACTGAGTTGACCCAGCAGACTTTTAAGAGGCATCCCTGGGAGGTGATAGAGCTGGGTTATTAAGACCTGAATGAGAGAGGGGAGGCAGAAAGATGACATGCAGCAGCAGCAGATACTGCAGACATGAAACCATGAAGTGATTTAAATCTGTATGCGAGGAGCCACTGGAGCCACATCCCCTCTCGCCTGAATGCAGTTCATGAAGGAAAGTTATCTAAAAATAGGGATTTAAGAATTTCTTTTAAAGTAATTATTATTTTTTGGATACGTGTGTGTGGGGGGGGATATACACACATGAATTGGGTTCCCATGTAACATAGTGTATGGAGGTCAGAAGATAACCCTCCAAAGTTGGTTTTCTACCCCCACATGAAATCCCAGCTCTAACAGAGGCCCCTAGACTCCTGCGGCTGGCGAGCACTTTTACAGGCAGTCATCTCACTGGATTTGGTCATTTCATCAAAACTGAAGTCCATCGGTATCAGGCATGTTGTGGGTTTCACTAGTAACCCTTCCTCTGCTTCTTTGTTCTTCTGAGTAGGGGTCTCACTCTACCGCAGGCTGTTCTTGAACACTATGGTACTGCAGACCAGACTCACACTCACAGCAGTGCTCCTGGCTCAGCTTCACAAGTCCTGGGATTACAAACATGATCACAACATCAGGGTCAACCAGTAACAGTTGCTCATTTCAGATATTCCTAAGAGTCCTTCCTCTGCTGGAATTTGTTTGGAAAACATGAAGAGAAGTGACTGCTGTCATTGATCCCACCGCAGGTGATACAAGCCAGAGAAAATGAAAGGAAAATCAACGAGACCCGAGAGTGCTACAGGCCAGTGGCAGCAAGGGCTTCTCTTCTGTACTTTGTTATTAACGACCTCAGGAAGATCAATCCCATCTATCAGTTCTCTTTGAAGGTAATGCTGAACAGGTGAAGGAAAATACGCAGCCTGAGAAGGTCTGTCCTCCTTTTTCTGGAGATTAGGGATTTATTGCTAAGCAGTTCTGGTAGATAGGAAGAAAGAGTGGGGCAGGCCATGTTACTACTGTAAGCCACTATTACACATAGCAGATATCATAAAACATTCCAAGGAAAGTATTCGCCTCATCAAAAAAGGTAACATTTTTAGATTTCAAACCAATTGCCCCAAATTCACATTTTGTGATTATAAGAGCCAGAATCTCAGCTTGTGCTTGTTTTTACTCCGAAGGCCAGGTTCTGTGTGTCCTGTCAGTCTGTCTTTGGGAGGGGTCCTTTTTTTCTTGCTGTCAGTTTTGAAACAAATACTTAATCAGATCAATTGTCATGCAAGAGGCTTATCCTTGAGTGCAGAGGTTGTTTTTTGTTTGTTTTGTTCTGTTTTAGTAAAAACATTAGAGGCAGGCACATGGGACATTAAAAAAGAAAATAACCTGGTGGGGAGGTTACCAGGGAGCAGAGTGCGAGGGAGAGGAGGGAAGGAGGAGCTACTGAAGTACACTTTGTTCAAACACCTTAAGATAACAACCACATCCGCCATCATGAAGTTGCCTAAGTAAGAAAAGCCACCATACAGCCATGTGCAATCATCGGGTAGCTTTACCTGAGTGGATTTTATGTTACAAAAAAATTCTGGTTTGTATTTTTATTTCTCCATAAGGAGCAAGTATTGTTTATACCATCGAAATAACATGTCAGTCATTGCTGTGGCCCCCACTGTAGATCCTGCTCGTCTCAGTTCTTCAGTAATTGACTCTGCAGGTCAAGGCACCATGTCTGACAGCCTGAGTCCGACCCCCTGCCCCACACAGTAGAGGGAGAAAGAAGTCCACAAGTAGTCCTCTGACCTCCACTGCAGGTGGACATACACATGTCTTCAGTGAACACATAGGCTTATAAAAAAATACATGGAGTAATAAATAGGAGAAAGTTACTTTTCGAGGGGTACCGGCAAAGCCATCCAGAGGAAGTGGCATTTGAGCCAGTGCTTGAAGGAAAGGGAGAATTTGGCTACCTAACAAGTGTTGGGTAAACAGGGCAGTGTGAGGCACGAAGGGCTGGGAATCCCAGGGTGTGAAGTACCTCTGGCCAGAGGCTAACAGTGAGGGAAAAGCTACAGGAGACAGACCCCAAGAGGACGGCACCTTGGACTGCATCTTGTAGAGCTTCTCAGGCTGTTGAGGAATCTGGATAACATTCTCTGCCACGAGAAGCCATGGGACGGCCTCAGCAGATGTCTGGTGGGATGGTGAAAGACTCAGAAGGGAGCAGACACTGGGTATGATTTGAATCTGCTACCTTAGGCCCTTGGAGATGGGGTGTCAGTGAGTTGAGTGTAACTAGCACGCCTCCTGCTAAGATGTGACTGTCATGCAAAAGCCTTGGTAATCATAGTGTGGCTGGATTTTACAACAGCAACAGCGTATGAGGAGAATGAGAAAACTAACCCAGCAAGCCTAGGTTAACAAATGCCCATCCATTTGCAAGATGAAAATGTTTTGAAGTTGGTGACATACCTTAATACTACTATACATTTGAAATAGTTACTGCAGTAATATTTTACAGGTATTTTAACCATAATTTGAAAGTAATAAAATTGAAGATTATGTATGGAAGGAGAGAGGATGGTTTGGTTCAGTAGCTAAGAATGAAATGCAAATAGATTTTGTAGACTCATTTTAATAACAATCATGAACCAGGCATAGTGACAGACACCTATAATCACAGCACTTGAGAGGCAAAGGCCATAGGGTTGATGTAAGTTCAAAGCCACCTTTGTTTACAAATTAAGTTTCAGGCCATCCAGGGTAAATAACAGAAGATCCTGTCCTGTCGAATGGGCATGCGTGCACACACACACACACACACACACACACACACACACACACACACACACAGGTGCACGCACACACACATACAGACGCTGATCATGACAGCAAATCTTGAAAGAGCACTTTCTGTATGGTACAAATTCAGACTATTTTAGCAGCTCATAATAGCCTCATAGAAGTCCAACTTTGTCCTCTCTCCCCATAGATAAAGAATAAACTGTGCCCTGTGTATCTGAGGCTAGCCAGACATGCAAGCATCATTTTACCCTCTAATAGTTGCATTAACCCTTCCAGGCTTTCAACACACTGTTCCACAGAGCCATTGAGCAGGCTGACAAGGTGGAGGATACTCAGGACCGCATCTGCGTCCTCACAGAGAGCATCACCCACGCCACCTTCCTCTATGCCAGTCAAGCACTGTTTGAGAAGGACAAGCTCACATTTCTGTCCCAGATGACTTTTCAGGTGAGGACATCAGTCCCTTGAAGCTTCCCAGGAACCCTGGGTCGACACCTTGGTTTGTGGTTTGTTAAGCATTTTCTTCCTGCCAAAGAGAAACAAACTTTTGATGACAATGAACTTGAACATGTAATGGCTTTTGCCTTGGTGCTTTGGTTTAGGTAACTGACAACTGTTACCCTAAGAAACATCAGTGAGATGCTCTTTCATAGTCTCGGGTTCTATGCACGAGCTTTCTAGCTCCTACCAAAAATGTTCTTTGAGGTCAGGGTTATGAGTCCAGATCTGAGTTTCTCACAATCCTTTTAAAGACCTCACATGGGCTCATCTATGTTGTTGCTCACGACAGAAGTTGTACTCTAAGCTACATAGTGTCCCATTGTATAAAATTAATGTTTTTCTAAACAAGTAAATTTTAAAAATGATTACTACATGCCACAACAAATTAATTAGCTTAATTTAGCCATCCCACAATGTAACCATGTATCAAAACATCACATTCCACACATATCTATAATACATCAATTAAAAATACAATTTAAAAATTTTTTGCTTCAAGGAATAAGTAAAAAAGCTCCATCCAAGACTCATGCTCCAATTCTCGGTGAGTCCTGCTTGTCATTTCCTCCTTTTTCACGTAAACTTCTACAGAAGACTTTGCTTAAATAAAGGGGTCAATGATAAGGAAGGAAAATGACTCCAGGCTCTGATGAAATAAGCATGCTATTAGGAGCTAGTCCAGTGGGGCAGGACGAAAGCACATTTCTTATATGTTGTTTATTGCTGTAGGGTTGGAACTGGAAAAAATGAACCCTCACAAGTATTTTCTCTTTATTGCTGGTTTGAGATCATATGCATAATCTAAGAGTCTTTATTCCAAATACAGAATAGACCCTGCTAGGGTTCTCATTAGTCATGCCTGTCTAATGGTGGCAGCTCCCTGTGTTGTGAATTTGATGGAAACCAATTCATCTTTTGCACATGTGTACTCTCTCAAGATTTTGTTGAGAAGGAACGAGATTGACCCCCTGGAGCTGGACTTCCTGCTTCGGTTTACAGTTGAGCATACTCACTCAAGTCCTGTTGATTTTCTGACCACCCAGTCCTGGAGTGCTGTCAAGGTACATGAGGAACTCGCTTTCTCGGCTCTTAAATCTTTTTTTTTTTTTTTCAAACAATAGATTTCTTAAATGTAGAAAAACAATTCATAAAAAAAGATGATATAGAGAGGCTTGGAGAGATGGCTCAGCGGTTAAGAGGGCTGCTGCTTTTCCAGAGGGCCTGGGGTTCAATTCCCAGCCCCCACATGGCAGTTCACAACTGTCTGTAACTCCAGTTCCAGGGAATCTGACACCTTCACACCAATGCACATAAAATAAATGAATTAAGAAAAGATGATATAGATATCCCTTACATTTTAGAAACACACTATATACTTTGTATCATTCACTTGGCTATTTTCTTATCCAAAGATAAAGGAGCTTTTGGCCTATTTATGGATGGGAAAGTTATCAGTAATTATGTAGAGTCTGTCATGACCTTTGATAAAAAAAAATTAAAGGATATAAAAGATCATTCTTTAATTTAGTTAAAGCTAGTTCCTTTGTTCTGCCTCTTTTTTAAATTATAGTTTTCTACCTTTTCACAACAGTTCTTGAAATAGCACAATATAGTAGTTTATTCTTACTGTAACGTGGTTAAGCTAGAGTTGGAGTGAGAGTTCAATTTGTAAAGTGTACTCACATAATGCAGATGTGGTAGCCATGCATCTGTAACCCCAGCACTGGGGAGGCAGAGACAGGAGGATCCCTAGAGCTTCCTGGCCTGTAGATATAGCAGAATTGGTAAGCTTCAAATTCATTGAGAGATCCTGCCTCAAAAAATAGGATTGGTTAGCAGGGTGATGGTGGCACACTCCTTTAATCCTAGCACCCAGGAGGCAGAAGCAGACAGATCTCTGAGTTCAAGGCCAGCCTGGTCTCCAGAGCGACAGCCAGGGCTTTACAGAGGAATAATAACTCAAACGACCATCCCCCCAAATAATTATGATAGTAATAGTAATAATGTAGAGAGTAACTGAGGAAGACCCCAATATCCACCTCTGGCTTCCACATGTGCATATGCATGTATACATGCTTGTGTGTATATACACACATACGTATATATGCATACACACCTACGTATATGCATGTACACCAATAATAGTGTTTAAGCACAGCTGAATTGATGACTTACATTTCAACCCCAGTCATCCTACTCTTTTTTTTTTAGACAAGGTTTCTCTGTTTAACATTCCTGGCTGGCCTGGAACTTCCTTTGTAGACCAAGCTGGCCTCAAACTCACAGAGATCTGCCTGCCCCTGCCTCCCAAGCCATGGCTGGACTTACTCTATTTTTCTGATAGAAGATCTTATTGCTGAGAGTCCTCATCTCCAAGGGCCTGAATAATGACCAACACATACTAGGTCTGTTCTGGTTTTTGTTCTGAGAGAAAAATGCTCCATGCACTGAAAATAACTTGTACTTTATTTTTATAGTATATTTAGATCCTTTAGACTTTTAAAAACTGGTGTGCATGTGTGTGTCTATACATGGGCATTAATGCAGGAATGCAGATATTGGATCCCCTAGACCTCGGTTTCCAGGTGATTTTAAGGGGCCAATGTGGATTCTGGGAACTGAGCTCAGGTATTCTGCTCAAGCAATACACTCTTAACCACTGAGCCATCTGTCCAACCCCTAGACAGTAATTTTTGAAATTTGTATTTTCAATTCAATTATCACTTTAGGATTATGGATTTGTGGGCTAGAGAGATGCATCGGTGGTTAAGAGCACATATTGCTCTTCCTGAGGACCTGAGTTCAATTTCCAACACCCACATCAGGAGGCTTACAACTGCCTGTAACCCCAGTTCCAGGGGGATCTCACATCTCCAAGCTTTGTGTGCACTTGCATTCATGTGCACATAACCCCCATATACATAATTAAAATAATAAGAATAAATCTTAAAAAAAATTACGGATTCATAACGTGTTACAACTCAGGGTCTCAACACAAAACAGACAGCACAAAATAGTGGGTTACGGAGACAGTACGAGAGTCGGCCAGCCAGGAATAGGAAAGGAAAAAAAGCGTTTGCTAGAATTGCGGAGAAGGGAGGCAACGGAAGCGGTCAACAGCAAGAGCGTTTAGCAAAGGAACACAGTTACAGACAAACATGCAGAGTTAGAAAAGAGCTGGGAAGGAAGTTGTGCTGTATCTATCCTCATCATGGACACACTCACACAGCGGTCCATCTCCTGCTAAGGCTTCTCAGAGACCTGGAGGTTGTCACTGAGCCTCCGCTCTAAGTAGGACAGGAAAGCATGCAGAAAATCTTCAGAGCAATATGAGGGCTGTCCATAAGTCTGCTGGAGCTGTGAACCGTGTTCATGGCATTCCCACATGTCCCCACGTTGCATCGCAGGCAGTTGCCCTCATGGAAGAATTCCGAGGCCTAGACCGAGATGTGGAAGGATCTGCCAAGCAGTGGAGGAAATGGGTAGAATCGGAGTGCCCAGAAAAAGAAAAGTTACCGCAAGAATGGAAGAAGAAAAGTTTAATACAGAAGCTAATTATTTTGAGAGCAGTGAGACCTGACAGGATGGCATATGCCCTGAGGTGAGCAATGACCTTCTCAGCAACACGGATTAAATGGAAGGAACTTGGTCCTAGGAATGAGGAGGAATTCTGCTAAGATTTCAACTCTATAATTAGTGTTACTGTTAAACATTGCTAAACACTGAACAGTGACCTAGTCTATGTGCAGACTCAGCACACCCTTCCAACGAGCTCAATTCTGAAGTGAGTTGGAGGGACGAGGACATGGTGGTGATGTTCATGGAAGGTCTGGGTATCGGCGGAGTGGTGAGACCTGGAGCATGCATTGTCCATTTCCATCATTTTTTTTTTTTTTTGGTTTTTCGAGACAGGGTTTCTCTGTGTAGCTTTGCGCCTTTCCTGGGACTCACTTGGTAGCCCAGGCTGGCCTCGAACTCACAGAGATCCGCCTGGCTCTGCCTCCCGAGTGCTGGGATTAAAGGCGTGCGCCACCACCGCCCGGCCATTTCCATCATTTTTATTTACTAGCCGCCTGTTAGCTCTAAAGGTTTTGCATGTCAAACAAAAAGCAAATTCTCTTCATGGAGCTACGCATGGCCCTGAAACTTTACAGTCAGTACACTTTAAAAGCAGAAACCACAATCCACAGGACAGTTTCGCTGGCCTTTTTCTCTGCCCTCCTGACGTCTAAATGGTAATACCCTGCTTAATTCACACCAGTCTTCTTTTAATTTGAATTCACCAACCAAAGCGTTCTCCACTTCATCCCCCCCCGTGTGCCGTTTTTCTTCCACAGTATCCATGTGCCTCACGTTCTTTCCTTTGCTTTGTCTCGTTTGCAGAGGCCTCTGTGGAACCCTGCTTCACACGTTCATTCTGTTAGCAGTACTTGCTTTCTGCTAGGTCTGATGCTGCAGGAAAATAATCCCTGCTTAATTGCACTTCCCTGTTAGAAACACCCCAAAAAGCATTTGTATATTCATGAGAAGCCCAGCAGGCTGGAAAATTGCACTGTGGCAAATCTAATGAACTGTTAATAAGTAATGGGGGAATCTGGCAGGAGGTTTGGGGGCTACAACGCCATATGTGGACAGCTGATGGTACTCAGAAGGGGACCCCAAAATGCAATGTAGGCTTCTGATTTTCAGTGTCCCAAGTCGGAGGCAATTTCAGCAATACACTGCCTGCACAAATCTATTTGGATTCCTGTGGCTCTCCTAAAGACACCTCTTAACAGTAAACATAGTTTGTTTCTTTCCTGTGCCTAGCTTACCCAAGCAGCAACGCTTTTCAAGTTCAAAATCAGTCATCTGATATTTTTGTTTTGTTTTCTTGAGAGGGGGCTGCTGTTGCTTTGTTTTTATTTTTGCATGTTCTTTTCTTAAATAGAAATTTTGTAGAAGAGAAGCTAGGTGCAAAGTATGTGGAGAGGACTAGGTTGGATCTGGGGAAAGCATGTGAGGAAAGCAGCCCCGCCACCCCGG